ATGTTTATAGATAAAAGCACACACAGAGAGATTGAAGAACACATGCACAGACAAATCTTGGTGATTCACGTAGATTTAGCTTGTATAATGATTGCAGAAGCATGGAAAATGGAAAAGATGGCTAGATAAGATTTGGAAGATATCTGGCTAAGAAATGGGTAAGTTTTTGAAGAAGAAATTTTTTGATTTAATAGTAGTGAATAAAATAATACAGTTGTTGTTGTTGTTTAGTTGTTTAGTCGTGTCCGACTCTTCGTGACCCCATGGACCAGAGCATGCCAGGCACTTCTGTCTTCCACTGTCTCCTGCAGTTTGGTCAGACTCATGTTTGTAGCTTCGACAACACTGTCCAACCATCTCGTCCTCTGTCGTCCCCTTCTCCTTGTGCCCTCAATCTTTCCCAACATCAGAGTCTTTTCCAGGGAGTCTTCTCTTCTCATGAGGTGGCCAAAGTATTGGAGCCTCAGCTTCACGATCTGTCCTTCCAGTGAGCACTCAGGGCTAATTTCCTTAAGAATGGATAGGTTTGATCTTCTTGCAGTCCATGGAACTCTCAAGAGTCTCCTCCAGCACCATAATTCAAAAGCATCAATTCTTCGGCGATCAGCCTTCTTTATGGTCCAGCTCTCACTTCCATACATCACTACTGGGAAAACCATGGCTTTAACTATACAGACCTTTGTTGGCAAGGTGATGACTCTGCTTTTTAAGATGCTGTCTAGGTTTGCCATCGCCTTTCTCCCAAGGAACAGACGTCTTTTAATTTCGTGACTGCTGTCACCATCTGCAGTGATCATGGAGCCCAAGAAAGTAAAATCTCTCACTGCCTCCATTTCTTCCCCTTCTATTTGCCAGGAGGTGATGGGCCCAGTTGCCATGATCTTTGTTTTTTTGATGTTGAGCTTCAGACCATATTTTGTGCTCTCCTCTTTCACCCTCATTAAAAGGTTCTTTAATTCCTCCTCACTTTCTGCCATCAAGGTTGTGTCATCTGCATATCTGAGGTTGTTAATATTTCTTCCGGCGATCTTAATTCCAGCTTGGGATTCATCCAGCCCAGCCTTTCGCATGATGAATTCTGCATATAAGTTAAATAAGCAGGGAGACAATATACAGCCTTGCCGTACTCCTTTCCCAATTTTGAACCAATCAGTTGTTCCATATCCAGTTCTAACTGTAGCTTCTTGTCCCACATAGAGATTTCTCAGGAGACAGATGAGGTGATCAGGCACTCCCATTTCTTTAAGAACTTGCCATAGTTTGCTGTGGTCGACACAGTCAAAGGCTTTTGCATAGTCAATGAAATAATACAATACAAACAAATAAGGGATGAAAGAATCAACTCTATTGAGACATTTCAGAAAAACTGGACTCCTTTTGCACTTTATTGGAATCAACACTAGACAAAGGAAACAGTTGTGATGGATATTCTATGCATGATATGAAATTTATTCACATTGCTATAATTGTAATCATTGTAATAAAAAAGTAACCACACACACTGATGCACATTTATATTAATACTAAGTTGAACAAGACATGTGGGAAAGCTCAGTCGGTAGAGCATGAGACTCTTAATCTCAGGTCATGGATTTGAGCCCCACTTTGGGCAAAAGATTCCTGCATTGTAGGGGCTGGACTAGATGATCCTTGTGGCCCCTTCCAACTCTACAATTCTATGTCTCCCCATAGATCATGAGGGAACCTTCTGTTCCTGGAAAGGATTCCAGTTCAACAGAGGTGGAAGGGGCAGGTGATTTTAACCAATACCCTCTCCAGCCCCAACATTCCAGAAGGCTTCCCAACCTGCAAAGAAGATTTCCAAGTATAGAGATGGTTGCAGGAGCAAGGAGGAATCTGTAGAAATCACCTCTCTTGCCCTTTTCCCCAAAGGGAGAATCAGATGAGTGGAAATCTACTCATAGGAAGTGTGGGTCCAAGTCATTATACTTATTTCGCCAAAATTCAATAAATATTTGTCATCCTGTTGCAAACTCCTCTTTGCCTTCCATCTCTCAGTTTAGAAATTTCCCTTAGCTACTTGAACTAACTCAAAGTGCTTTCATCTGTCATTTCCAATATAAAAGTGAACAGTCAGAAAATATACCAACAGAACATCAAGAGGTGATAAACCAAACGTTATGAGTTAACTGTCACAATAACCTTATCATTGCAAGGCATGAAACTAAACTTGAGGAGTGACACTTTAAAAAGCTTTGCAAGGCCACATAATACCTGATGTTAGAGATGCTGACGACCCCTTTAAGCCTGCAGTCTCTACGATGCTGCCATCTGTGTGGACCACAATCAGAGTGGCTTTCTCAGTGTTCAAGCTGTCTCCAATTTGAAGAGCTGTCCTTCCAGACTGCAGAAGAAAGAGCTTTAGCTGATACAACTTGAAAGGGTTGTTATTCTTTTATATTAGTTTGTCTATAGATTTCTAAGTTAGTATGGAAATATCTAAGGTAGATTTGCATATTTGCAGGGGAGAGGAGAAATCCACATCTCCCTTCCTCAGCATACATTGTGCTGTTGAATAGACACAGTTCTCAGAGTTTTCCTGTGCCAGTATGGATTGGACTGGGGCCAACAAGTAAATAAAACTAACTACAAGCCGAACATAAGGCATACAACATTGAGAGAGGTCTCCGTCCCAAGGATCTTACAGTCTAAACTTTAGATCCTGCCTGTGCAAATCATGAACTACTTAAACAGTATTACATTATTGAGTTTTGTACAAGTGATATAAAAGGGGGCATTGTAGAGTCAATGGCTACATCAGGGCAATTCTATACATTTTCAAGTGATTGGCTACTCACTGATTCATGTTGAATCTACACTTGTTGGCAAACCTGGGTTTTCCTCTGTGTAATGTGTAAGATTGCCCATAATGGAATTAAAAGGAAGAGTACACAATAATGTATTTATCCCACAAGCCCTGGGTAAAAGCAACATCTGTGCAGTTGGATTGATGAATTGTCATAGCGACATACACACACAGCTTTTATGTTACTTATCACACACAAAATATTAAATATGAAGGAATAAATACTGGAGAATGAATCAACCCTGACCTTACCAGAACATGTCCTGAAATAGATGCTGCATTCGCTACTGAAGTAGTGAATACGTTGTCTGCAGAGGCACCCACGTTGGCTACAGTTACTGTAGTCACTTCTGTAAAATATGGCCAAAATAATGTTTAATTTTCTGCTACAGCCTCCCATGGACCAGATAAATTCCATGCAGTAAAACATGCAATTGCAAGTGTTTTTCTTATCCAACTATCTAGGTGTAAGGTACCCCATGATCTCTCTCCCTCTGAGGTGTGCATTTCAATGCACAAAGCAAACAGTTTTGGCTCAGTGAGCACAGCTAATTAGTAATAAGCCACCAATATAGTGACTGCACTTAAATGTAAAGTGGTGAGATGCAGTGGGAAACATTTCCCTTTTACAGTGCAGTCCTATGTGTGTGTGTCTACTCAGAAATAAAGTTCATCGAATTCCAAGATTTAGTCCCAGTGTATGACTGAGGTCAATGTATGCATGTATTTACAGAACTTTCCACTTCACTTTGCTTTTTCAAATGTTTAATTTTTAAATGAGTGACGCTTTATTGTATGCTACTTTGATATTTTATGCATTTCAGACATCCAGCCATATTTCCCGAGACAAACTAAAAAATGAAACTTATAAATGCACACAAAGTTATATTGCTTGTTGTCACATCTAATCACTACAAAGCAGGGCTCCATGTCTTTCTTCAGTTGGCTGACAGGCGGAAATTAAACAGGCACAGCTCTCCCTTGGGAACTATAGAGGAACCCTACATCTGCTAGATTTCTGCTTGTCAAGCTGCTGTCAAAGCAGGCCTGGGAAACCTGTGGCCCTTCGGACGTTGAGATTCCAGCTCCCATTATCACCAAACAGCAGGGCCAACAAGACTCCCTACCACGGTATTAAAGGTCCAGTAGCCATATGACTCAGGGAGCAGTAGAAATGAAACACTGCAGCCATGACAGCGACGACTCCTCCACTATACTATGTCTCAGAGCTGATTCACATATGCATGTGTACACGTGATTTCTATACACTTGACTAACAGCGGCTGAGGAACGTGCGAAGTACTTCCACAGAGCAGAGTGGCGTCTGATGCAATACGAGGATTCAAAACGTGATGTTACAAAAAGCAGGCGGGGGTCCATTAACACTCCTTGAAGCGCACGAGCGCGAACCAGCTAAGCGTCAGGGACGAAGCTGAACGGACTGGCGGGCTGGGCGCCTTTGCGCATGCGCCGGGTGCGCTGACCTGCGAAGGCAGCCGCGGTGGCCTCGTCGCTGCTCGGCAGGGACTCGGCTCCCATCTCGATGTGTTCCGCATCCGCCGCCATTACGGTCACGGCCGTCACCTCCTCTTCCTCTGGTGGCTCCGCCCCCGAGCCACTCGCCTCCACACGCTGCTGGTGCTCCGACCCGTCTGCGGCCGCCGCAGCTGCTGCCGCCGCAGCAACTGCAGCGGCGGCAGCTACCGCCGCGGCCTCAGCCAAGCCCAGTTGCTTCGCGGCCGAGTCCGAGTCCTCCATCCGAAGAGGCCTTTAGCCGGGGGTGTTGGGGAGGGGGCGCGGGGGGTGACCGAAGCGAGGTGAGCCGAGGCCGTCCGATTGAGATTTCGTCTCCGATCTCACCCGAGCGCCTCTTTGACGGCTCCCGAGTGACGAAACGAACTGCCCAAGGCCCTCTCCGATCTTGCCCGAGTACTCTCCCGAGTGCTGCCGATGGCAACCCTGGCCGAGGCCTCCGGAGCGCCGCTTCGGTCTCACCCGAAAAATCCCGAACAGTGCCCGATCTAAGCCGACCTCTTCCGATCAGCCTAATTCCCAATTGAAGAGATCTAGAACGAGGCCGAAAGCTTGCGAAGGCGCCCGAACTGGTCCAGGTTCGTCTCGGCTTCTCAAAAGCGGCGACCGACGGCGATTGCCGAAGAGACCCGAGTCTTTCCGGCTATAACCGAATCGAAGGGCGTAAGCGGGAAGCGAGCGGGAAAGGCCGAACAGGGATTTCTGAATCCCGCCCCTCACAATCCCAAGCGACCGGAGCTGTCCGATTCAGCCCGAACGCCTGAGCTCCGAAATCTGTCGTGCAATCCCGCCCGCGCGAAAAGCAACGAACGGCAGTATGCGGAGGTTCACGAGGCCCCGATTGAGGCTGCGCAAGGACTATCGGGATATTGGAGGAACTGAGGCGGGGCGGAGAGCGAGCGGGAGGCGGGGGGGAGCGAAAAAATGGCGGCCGTCAGGCGAGGTGAGCTCAGTGCCCCTAAGGCGCCGCTGTTAACGCCAGGGCGAGTGAGGGGAGGCAGGCCCGGTTCCCCTAATCATGCGCGCGGCTCCAGAGCCTGGTGACGAGGCCGCCGGTTGCTCACTGGGCTGCGTTGGCCTTGCCTGGTATTAGGTTTCCATGGCAACAGAGAAGCAAAAATGCGCGTTCTTGCTCGGAGTGGCGTTTTATTCCTCAGTAAATGAGGTTCAGATTGCAACCCCGCAGTCCGTTCTTAAGTACGTCCACGCAGGAATTTCTCTGCGTTTTGTAAGTGTTGGTGATTAGGGCTTAGGTGTCTAGTTCTCATTGAGGTGGCAAGTCTCTTAAGCAGAGCGCTATCGCCTCTGACGGGGGCGGAGTGTCAGCCTGATTGAATGCTTCTCCACCATGGGCACCCTCCAACATAACATTATTTTACATAGGAAACTAGATATCAGGGTGAAAGGTTGTGTTTCAGCTTAGCCTTTTCCCCTGACATTTCTTTTCTACATGGAGGGGGGTTTCGGTATCGAGAAGTAATTCATTTAATTGCAAAAGCCTCCTCCTGCAGCCAGAATTAAATCCGGTATAGTCCAGGAGTAGTGAGCCTTGGGGTCAAATGCAGCCCTCCTGTCCTGCAGCTATCCTTGGGCACCCAGCCCACCCCCCTTACAGAGGCACTGCTCTGCTCACTCCTCTGGCGGTTTTTGTTTTGTTTTGTTTTGTTTTTGCTTCCCTGGAATGTGGCCTTGAACTGTGGCTGCCTGTGTACACATGCACACCCCTGGCTTTTGTGTGTCTGGAATGCAGCCTGTACAAAAGTGAGAGTCCTAGCTGTTGCTCCGCTCGTTTTCGCCTCCTGCCCTGCCCATCACTGGTGTCCTATGAGAGAATGCAGCCCTCAAGCTGAAAAAGGTTCCCCACCCCTAGCAGGTTTGCCACCTCAAGTAACAACAAAGCCAAAATCTCATTACATTAAATGGATTCTTTTCTCCCTAGTAATTGTGATCAGGCCTGCAGCTTTTTGAATGACTTACTGTGAGCTTTTATAAGTGATGAAGTAGACTGTTGCCTATGGTGCTCCAGGTTCCCCACCCCTGCACTATTTAAGCACTCAAGCACTCACCATCCTTAGCTGTTGGCCATGTTGGTTGGAGCTGCTTGGAGTTGGGGAAGGCTGATGCATAGATTACTGGACATACCTGGGACCTTGGTCCAAATATAGGTGACTTTGAGCCCACTGCTGTCTGTCATAATAACCTAATTCTCAGGTTATTGTTAAGGACAAAAGGGGTGAGCACAGGGGAGAAAAAGTGGGATGAATATGTACCCCCCCAAATGAATTGTATTTGTGGGAAATGACCCTCAACTTACTGGATGGGATGCCACATTTGCCACTTCAGAGCAGTCAAGAGTGGCCACACATTAATGGCTGTGGGTCGAATCCAGCAAAGCCACTGCATGAGCAGAACAACTTTGATTTGTGTAACAGAACATCTCCCTCTCCTACAACTGAACACTCCCCCATATTTGCTCTGGAGGGCTGGTGGGAGGGAACCCTGAGCAAATCTGGGAATGGTGTGGATGGAGGGGGTGCTCTGCTGCATGTGTGGAAGTTTCTCTTACATTACTTTGTTGGTTACAACCCTTATTACTCTTAGCCCTTTATTTTTGCAGTTTAATATGGCTGCTTCACTATATTGTTAGGTGCTTGGGGATTCACAAGAATAATTCAGCAAATAACACAGGCATTGTGATTCTTACTGGGAGTGTTTCTGTGACCATGCACTTTAAATACATGGGCTCTGTGTGTGTGTGTGTGTGTGTGTGTGTGTGTAATAGTTATGGGTTGGAGGGGTACTGATGGCATTAGTAATGTAATGAATAATATAAACTCTCATGTGGGACAGTTCACAGAGATATGTATTATTTTTTAAAGTGGCATTCATTAGACTGTAGATGTTGGATTAGATGGAGAGGGTATCCATACCTATCAGTTGCTTAAACATAGTGTACCAGAGGCTATCTTACATTAAATATAATTTCAGGCTACACCTCCATCTTACAGTCATGCCCACATCTTATGAATTGTTTGCACTATAAAGTGTAACTTCAACTACATCTAAAGGTTTATTTTGTTTCAACCTGATTTAAAGACTTAGGCTCCTGTTGAAATAATTCACAGACTTAGAAACCATAGTATGCTTAATTCACTAGAGGGGGATAGAGACCTGCTTTGTGTAACTAGGTTATACATCAAGCATTTTATGTAAGCCTAATAATGTATGACAGTGATGAATGACTGAATTCTTTATGTCCTTCCTAGCTTTGTTACTTCTTGCTTTAAAATGTAACATTCTGATCAGTTTTAGGCTTTGGTTCTATAACCTCTGTGCATGTTTGTGCAGAAATAAGTTCCGTTGTGTTCTTTATGGCTTACTTCAGTAGTGTGTTTAAGACTGTAGCCCTAAACTGAAAAATATGCCCAAGATGACTTAAGTGGTTTGTAAATTGCAGCATTATCCTTGCAGAGAGTAGGGGTGGTATGAAATAGATCTTTCAGCATTGTGTTTACAGCTTTGAAGTGAGCTGTTCATGTTCTAACTGGCTACTGTCATAGCTTAAATTGTTTTCCCCGTGACTCTGAAAAAAAATCATTTCTACTGTACAACATGTATTCAGACAGTCTTAGGTTTTTAATCTTTGGTCCAAAAATTATAGACTCTGCTAATTATTATTTTTGTCTTATGTACAGGAAGAGCAACATCTGTTGTATCCTTTCTCATTCATTCAGATGATGAAATAATTTTGCTTCTTTCTATCTGTGATTTTCAAATGTGTTATGTGAGTGCTTCTTTGGGGTTCCTCAATGAGGACTATGGACTGTCAAGCATGTTGCAGAATATAATGCAGTGCAGGTATTCAGTAGCAAACAAATTGACATGGGGAATACTCCTTGAAGACATCTGAAAGCAGCCATGTTTAGGGAAGTTTTTAATGTTTGATGTTTTATCGTATTTTTAATAATCTGTTGGGAGCTGCACAGAGTGGCTGGGGAAACCCAGCCAGATGGGTGGGGTATATGTATATTATTGATTGATTGATTGATTGATTGATTGATTGCTGAAGGTGGAAAGTTTTAAAACTACTGTTACGTTTCATTATACTCCAATAAGTTTTAGTTTGTAAATTCATAGTGAAATTTGAGATATGCAAAAGCAGTATATGTTGTCACTGATTATAAGTACTGTACTAAAACTTGATTAATCTATAGTCTGGGAGACTAAGAAATGAAATGAAATGATCAGAGTGGTCTCCATAAAATAGAGTTGTATCCATTGGTCTTACTCAGCTGATGATAAGGGTTATATCAGCAGAATGGATCAGGAAGCAATTTTCTTTGATTTCTCCTATCACTGCAGTCATCCCCCCCACCATGTCCACCCAAATCTGCTCTGGAGGGTCCCCCAACACTCCAGACACATGGGTAGTACAGTTTGTATTACAAGTTCCCCAAAAAGCATTCCAGACAGTCTTCAAATATTTCTGCTGCTACAATTCCTTCTCATTACTTCAGTCTGGAGAATGTGAATACTCAGTTCTGTTTCAGTAGAACTGACATCCACTCCACAAGCTGGAATGTAGCTATTACCTGTAGGTCTTTTATAGTGCAGTCCTATGCATGCCTACTCAGAAATAAGTCTCATTCAGGTCAGTGGGACTTAACTAAATGGGCATGGCTCCTTCAGATTCATTCTTTCAAATAAATACTTGACTGTGTATGAGTGTGCAGGGTGCCTACAGGCATTGTTTCCAAGAGCAAGTACAGCGCTTTCAGGAATTCATGTGTTCCAGCAAGGCTGGTGTATTTGCTTTTTTCTGTAAAAATAGAAAGGGACCATCAAAACAATGTAGAGAAAGCACACTTCAGCTGTTTAAGCATTGCTCTGTTTTGGAAGGTTGACTCCTTATGTGCTGCTGTTGGATTTATAGAACTGAAGAAAACTGACAGAAATCAACAATTGTTTGAGTTTGTGCACTTCAGATGTCCTTCAGGACTTTATAAGATAAGTAAAGGAAGAAGAGGTAAAATCAGTCATGGTTAAGTGGGCGAAGGATTTCGGTTACAATATACAAATGGTGGAATGGGAAAATTTATGGAGTAGGGATTTGAAATTCACAGCCTGCTTCACTATAAAAGAAAACTTTATGAAGATGCTATACCAGCAAACTGCCCAAAATGTACAGAACCAGCTCAATTTTATGCTGGAGGTGTAGAGAGTTAGAGGGAACGATGTACCTCATAGGGTGAGGTTGCAAAAAATAAAGAGCTTTTGGGAACTTATATAAAATGAAATTTTTTAACAAACTGTTCAAAATAACGTTTAATAAAAAACCGGAAGCCTTTCTTTTAGGCATAATGGCATCAGACATCCCGAGAGAGAAAGGAAGGATCTTTTTGCATGTAACAACAGCAGCGAGGATGCTGATTGCCAAGGGGTAGAAAGGAGATAAAATTCCATCACAAGAGGAGTAGAAAGTAAAACTGTTTGAATATATGGAACTAGCATATATGACGGAAAAGATCAGAGATCGATCAACCCAAAAGTTTGAAAGGGAATGGGAGATTTCAGACAATATTTAAAAGAACAGTGTCCCCATATAAAAACTTTAGAATGCTTTGAATAACTGTCGGAATTGAATAAGGTATAAAGAACACAAACAAGTTTTAATAAAGTTTAAGCTTATTGAATAAATAGAGGCAAGTAATTAAGGAAACAAAGAACCCATATCAAGGAAGTCGGAAGTTGAAAGCTAGAATATTTTTGTGCATTCGTGATGTATTTCTATTTCTTTTTGTTTATAAGAGATGTATTGTCTTTCTTTTGTTCTGTTTCTTTTCTTTCTTTTCTAAGCTTTCTTTGTGTGTATGTGTTGATTTTAAACCAATAAAGATTGATTTTTTAAAAAAGGGGATTTATAAGATAACCATGATGTTATCAACTTATTCCACTTTATACTGGGTTATTCCCTACCTCTTAGTGTGCAATTAGCTGAGATTTTCTTAGCATGATAGCGTGAGTTGCATTTCCCACTTAAAACCTTGCTTATAGATGGCCCCTGAACCTGGGCTCAGCATGGTTTATACATTTGGATGGAGAAATGGAACCCAAAGTGCACACGTGGTTCTCATTGCCATGAATGGAATGGCAAAACCTTCCACATGTGAATCATTTACTCTCCGTTATCAGTATCCCTCTGCTAGAATGCAGCTCAGCTCACAGTTTGGGTTAAGCAAAATACCACAGAAATCTTTGGAAGGTACAACACAAACTCTTACGTCAGGAGTTCCTAAATCAGTCTGTGAACCACCACAAGCTTCATTCAGGTGCTCCATGGCATGTCTGTGGATTTTGCAGTTGGAGATGGTGCATCCATCAGATTGAATATGCCTGTTTATTTTTAATTGCATTTTTATTGCTTATTATATTTCTTATATTGTATTTCATTGTATTACAATTTGAATTCTATGGATTTACAATTGTTAGAAGAAGCAGAAAAATCATTAAACCATTATCATTTCTTCATAGGAGGTATGGCAGAAACCTTAGTTTATCCTGACCTAGATTGCTATTAAGTTCTGTGGCACATTTCAGTCTATAAAATGCAAAGCAATTTATTTTTCCTCACACCAACTCCTTGAGGAAGGTTAGAATGTGGCAGAACAATTGTGTTGAAGGCCACCAGGTGAGCTTAGTGATTCAGTAGGGAGCTTCCAAACCCAGTCCTAATGTGCTTCAGGGTTACAGATCTGATGAGCCAGCTGTCATGAGCACTGCCATCTCAAGTTTTTCTGATCTTGATCAGTAGACGTTGCAAGTTTAATGGGTGGTATTTAAACTCAGTTTTTCTGGATATAGATCCACCGAAATTAACAAACCTAACTTTTAGTCATGTTCATTTCAGTGAGTCCACTCTGATTAAACCTTAGCTGAATACTAGTCAATAAAATTCAAGTAGGTGGTTCTTCTTACAACTAGAATGGTGCTTATAATATTTAGTGTGTTGGAATCTTAAGATGTAGGATGGAATTAGAATAGGAATTTGACTGAGCCAGGATTGAAAAGTCCTGGGTATTCCCAGTCCATGGCCAGTAATTTTATTTTCTAAGACTTTTGAGGACTGAAATACCAGTGTACATTATTTTGAAAGTGCAAATAACACAGCAAAGGCTTTTGTCTCTTGAAAATTCATACTCCAAGGAGGAGTTTGGATTTGATATCCCGCCTTTCACTCCCTTTAAGGAGTCTCAAAGCGGCTAACATTCTCCTTTCCCTTCCTCCCCCACAACAAACACTCTGTGAGGTGAGTGAGGCTGAGAGACTTCAAAGAAGTGTGATTAGCCCAAGGTCACCCAGTAGCTGCATGTGGAGGAGCCGAGACGCGAACTTGGTTCCCCAGATTACGAGACTACCGCTCTTAACCACTACACCACACTGGCTCTCCAAATCATACAAGATTTTCATAAAGCCATTGCAGGAATAGTCTTCCTCTTAATGGACTGTGAAAGTTAAATTGCCTTTTATCTTATTCTCAGCCTTCATAAAATCCCTGTAAAACAAATCCCGTGGCTTGAACAAATAGTTTTATACAGATACCCTTTCAAGAACTTTTTTTAACTTTAACAAGACCTTCTGTATCAACAGTTTTCACAATAAATGTTTCATCTAAAGTGTACATTGCCATACCTTGAGAGAGTCCATAGCTCTATAGCAGCCCACATGCTTTGTATGCAGGAGGTCCTTGGTCAACCTCTAGTTAACAGCATCTCAACTAGCAGGGCTGAGAAACCCCTCTCTAATACCTTGGAGTGTTGCTGTCTGAAGTGGGGGACAGGGGACGGGACATGATTTGATTGTTTTAAAACCAATTTCCTTGACAGAAACTGCCAGCTGTCATCTGTTCCCTTACAGATTCTTTTCTATTTAAATGTAGTTTATTATATATTTTATTTTTTAGCAACCCTGATGATGATTATTTATAAAAGTAAGTTAATTCAAATACACAGTTAAAATAGCTGTATTGTGGACCTCTTGTTACTTGTCTTTTTTCATTATTTATACTTTGCTCATTGGCAGGTCAGGTTTTCACGTATCCAGATGATTTCTTAGCTCTTGATCTCATATTGCTGTTCATTATGGCAGTTCTTGAAGCAGTCAGGCTATACTTTGGTAAGTTGGATAGCAGCATGCACATTAGAATCATTGTTAAATATTAATCCTTTGGTAAGGATACATGTCGAAACATGCTGATTCATGACACCTAACCAATTATTTTACAACACATTTAAATACTTTTAATGTTAAACATTAAAATGGCTGACTGACCTACATGGGTAAAAGTGCAAATGAGACTTTGCTAAATACTAGTTAAATAAGGGATATATTTGTCAAGGTTACACTCCAGTCAAATGCATGTTTGCCTGGATGTAAGTGCTAAAGTACAGGGACGCGGGTGGCGCTGTGGGTAAAAGCCTCAGCGCCTAGGGCTTGCCGATCGAAAGGTCAGCGGTTCGAATCCCCGCGGCGGGGTGCGCTCCCGTTGTTCGGTCCCAGCGCCTGTCAACCTAGCAGTTCGAAAGCACCCCCGGGTGCAAGTAGATAAATAGGGACCGCTTACTAGCGGGAAGGTAAACGGCATTCCGTGTGCTGCGCTGGCTCGCCAGATGCAGCTTGTCACGCTGGCCACGTGACCCGGAAGTGTCTCCGGACAGCGCTGGCCCCCGGCCTCTTGAGTGAGATGGGCGCACAACCCTAGAGTCTGTCAAGACTGGCCCGTACGGGCAGGGGTACCTTTACCTTTACCTTTAAGTGCTAAAGTAAGAGTCTATCAGTTGCATCCTAAAAGAGGGCAATTTTACTAAACCATAAAAATCAGGAGCAGAGGCTGTGCTCAGGGGCATAGGAAGGGGGGGGAGTGGATCACCCCAGGTGCCCTCACTGAGGGGGGTGACATTCAGCCTGCCTGCGACTCCCAAGCTTACCCTGAGCTATCGGGATGGGGGGAGCTGCACCGCTTTGCCAGTGGCATTCCCCCCTCCCCCTTCGTTTTGACAGCTTGGGGGAGGTTTGGGAGTCGCGGGTGGGCAGCGCGCTGTTTGCTTGCCACTGGCGGCTCACTCCACCCCCGTCTGCAGGGTGCGCGCGTCACTCTGGGCAACCAAGTGGCTATCCTCTGCGCCACACCCCCCCCTTAGGATTGCGCCTGCCCTGGGCAGCGCGGGCATATGCTCCACCACTGGCTGTGCTGCGCCATCACTCTGCTAGCAGTGGCACCACTGCCACTTGCTAGGACAGAGAGATTGAGTCTGTATCAGTTTAGTGGCAGAAGCACCAAATTGGCTTTCACCAGTGTGCCCACACAGCCCTGCCCATGTCCCTGCCCTGCCCTTCTTGGTAAGTAGATGGAATGCTTCTGATAGGAGGGGGGATGCAGCAACAGCCCCACTGCACTAGGTGCCCATGGTAAAATGAGAGTATTGCTGGGTTCTGTGGATCATGGTGGTTGAAAAGGGGAAGATACAATGAAAAGGAAGGCTCTGCTTCTCAGCTACATCATGGCTATATCAGCACAAAAGCAGTGTAAAATGGAATAGCACTGGTATTTCTATTATAAACTCCAGTATACACTGTGTTAGCCTCTGAAGGCTCTCCTGGCCCAAGAATCATCATACCTATCATACTAGTAAAAGGCCATTATAGTCGCTTTGAATTTGGATTTTTGTGAGCTATCACATTCATCATTTGTCAATTGTGCTTGTGTATTTTTTTTAAACTTCACTAGGTACCAAAGGGAATCTAACAGAAGAAGAATATCCATTGGGTATCAGTCTTGTGATCACTGCTGGCAGCATAATCCTATCCATCTACTTTCTGGTGTGGCAAACATATGTCCTGCGAGCAGATGTCATCATTAATGTTGTACTGCTTGTCACATGTGGACTTGAAGCAATCCTGCAAGTCATAGCCATTGCTGCATTTGTCAGCTAACTCATGTTGCTATCTGTGGTAAACCTATATTCTGTATTTTCTTTTTAAATAAGCAATGCAGATTTTTTATTGATCCTTGTAAAAGTACATGGGCTTGATGTTCTCGAGTATAAACACTATCATAACTGTTCTTACTACACTGCAAAGTTCCATGAGGCCATCATGAACTAACATGTAACACATTCTGCAGGGTTATTCTCAGCATAGCTTATATAGTGGTGGTCTCTGTTTGAATTGAAGTTTGGAGTTAAATGTTGATACTCAAATCAAGGCTGATCCACATTTTTGGTGGCAGACAAGCTTGCTGTTTGTCCTTTGCCTGACTTTGGTGAGCACCTCATTGTTTCAAGGAAAACATGCCTCTACAAATGTAGAAATTCATGCTGTGGACAGATCCCAGGGATTACCCACAGTTCCCCAGTGTGTGTATACCATATGATTAGAGGCATTGACCTTTCGTTCCTTGGAAGATACACGGTAAATAGGTAGCAATAAAGTGCTTCATAAAGCTTGAATCATCTCTCAAAATAAATATTAGCCAGACCCTTGTGATTAATTTTTGCAGCTCTTTGAGTTGATTACTCATTTCAGTGGTCTTAACAGTGGAATCAGTGAAACTGTACTGTATCAGACCATAAGCATTTATAGTGAAAATTTCAAAAGAATGTAGCAATCTTTTAAAAGTTAACTTGGAAACTGGTATCTTAGCTGTACATTATCATAAGCCTAATTCCCAGTTAAAGTTAGAATTACGGGTTTCTAAGAATAGTTTTCAAAATATTTTAAAGATATATTTTATTAATGAAAGAGCAATATCCAGTGTTGCATGAGCAGATCCCCCCTTCTCCTTTCCCATGCAGCCCTCATCGCTCCCCAGCTGCTCTGGAGGGTCACCATAACCTTTCAGGGCAGGTTTGGGTATGTGCAGGAGGAGACATCCTTATTTCACAAATGGTGCCTGTTCCACTGGTGGACAAACACTGTTGGATATTGCCTATTGTATTCTGCAAAACAGATTTAGTTGAGTACAGGCCATGCCTTGCTATGTATACTGTAGGCTACTTAATTTTACTCTTGAATATGTTGGATGATTTTGATAAGTATATCCACGTGACATTGCTGTGGTCTTATTTTTGCTTTCAGGTATCTAAAAGATGTGTGATATGAGAAAAATAATTTTAAGACCAAATCCAGTGACTTCAAGACAAATTCAATTCATATGAACTTTGGAAAGGTGAATTCCACGTTGATCTTCTGGGGAACTACAGTATTTTATGCCTTGGGTTCTAATTAGTCCCCTCTGCAAATGGAAGGGCTCCTTCCGTATGTGGAAGACAGCATTTTATTTTATTTTTTAAAACCAATTTTCTTTTTTTTTTTAATAATAATATTTTATTAGAAATTCCAAAGAATTAACAACCAAACAGGAAAAAACCACAAAAAAGAACAGACAAACCTCAAAAATCCAAACAATAAAACATCAAAAAAGAGGAAAAAATACAAAAAAGAATACAGAAAAAAGTATAGCATAAAAAAGAACACTCTTTCATTTTGATAACTTTCAGAACCTTATTCTCTTTACTTCCACCCGCCTTCCCTTCTTGTATTCTATTTTAAAAATTAATTCAGCAAGATCATTAGTTATTCATTTTTAAGCCTTTGTCCATCTCTTTACAGTCTATTTAACTTAATCGCTAAAACCCCTTCATTTCATTTTCAGAGCCCTTAGCATTCATAAATTTTACAATATTTTTGAAGATAAATTTTAAACTTCTTCCAGTCCTCTTCCACCTGCTCCTCTCCTTGATCTCGGATTCTGCCGGTCATTTCTGCCAGTTCCATATAGTCTTTTACTTGCATCTGCCATTTTTAAAACCAATTTTCCCTTCCCCCTACACTGCCTCTCTTGATACACTGAAATGTCCCCTGACCCTCCTGAGTGGACATTCAAGGGGCTGCAGTTGGGGAGGGGAGACTGATGAAAGTGCTGCCCTTCCTTCTACTAGCAGGAACATTCTGTTAGCAGAACTCGGCATGCGGGAACTTGCCATCAGAACCTCATTTACAATCTAAGCCAATATATTTTTCTTTAGTATAGCACTTTTATGTATAATGTCCGATGTGGGTTTTCCTTCACCTAGATTTATGTTTTGTGGTGTATCTTAGAACTGTGTTTTTCTACAAGAAAGCCTTAAGAAGTGTATTGAAAGATTATCATATTTTAAAATTTGTATTTATGAACAGTATATATTTCTATTTTTCTATCACTAAGAATAAACAGACTTCAAGTCATTCACATTGAACAGATACTAATTGAGCTGATGGGTATGCCTATTGTGGTTCAGTTAAGTTCCTCACAGTGGGAAGTGTAGAAACACTCCTTACACACAGTGTGAAGTATGATGTGAACCAGTTTTGTATTCTCATTTTGTATTTTTCTGTTGTGAACCACCCTCGGTGGTATACAATTAATTAATTAATTATAATAATAATAATAATAATAATAATAATAATAATAATAATACAAAGTGTAAAAATCTTGAAGAGAAGAGGGTAACTCTGGTGGGCAGATATGCTGAATCTAAAATAACGTCATATATCATGTTTCAGGTTCACTCCTGAAGCTTTGATTTTATTTCTTTATTAAATAAAATCCATATACTATTTGATGGTTAAAAACAAATAAAAACTTAGGACCTTAGAGCAGTTTACAAAAACCTTCTAGTCCCTGGAGTTCTTTCAAATATGTTTGCAGATTGCTGCATAAGAGAATTGGCGCTTTGACAGGGCTGTCTGTCCAGAAAGTAGTGAGATTTGAGATAACAAACATGTTGATGTCAGGATTTTGTAAGCATTATTATTGAGCACATCTTGCATACAGCACCACATACAAAGAGTTCTTTTGAATTACCTTTTATATTCCAACGCAGCAGAACAGGATTATCTAGTTTATCAGAATGAATTCAGTTTCTCAGCCAAAAGCCTATAAATGGTAGTGATGGTTGACTCCTTCCAACTCTCTATGTACTGAGAGAATTGGGTGGGTGGGAATGTGTGGGAAGTCAAAGATGACATGGTGCTCCCCCACCCTTGAGTCACCACTCATAGTTTGTGGTTAATAAACTGATGCATAGTGATGCACATTTATTTGCATATCTTTGGTGATCCCCTTCACACCTACTTTGTAAAGGGACCCTGACAGTTAAGTCCAGTCACAAACGACTCTGGGGTTGCGGCGCTCACCTTGCTTTACAGGCTGAGGGAGCTGGCCTTTGTCCGCTCTGCAGACATTTTTTCCGCGTCATGTGGCCAGCATGACTAAGCCGCTTCTGGCGCAACGGAACACGGGAATCAGAGCAGCGCACGGAAACTCCCTTTACCTTCCCTCCAGAGCGGTACCTATTAATCTACTTGCACTTTTTTGGGGGCGTGCTTTCAAACTGCTAGGTTGGCAGGAGCTGGGACCGAGCAACGGGAGCTCACCCCGTCACGGGGATTCAAACCACTGACCTTTTGATCAGCAAGCCCAAGGCTCAGTGGTTTAGACCACAGTGCCACCTGCTGTGTTAGTTAGAATCATAGAATCATAGAGTTGGAATAGACCACAAGGGCCATCGAGTCCAACCCCCTGCCAAGCAGGAAACACCATCAGAGCACTCCTGACATATGGTTGTCAAGCCTCTGCTTAAAGACCTCCAAAGAAGGAGACTCCACCACACTCCTTGGCAGCAAATTCCACTGTCGAACAGCTCTTACTGTCAGGAAGTTCTTCCTAATGTTTAGGTGGAATCTTCTTTCTTGTAGTTTGGATCCATTGCTCCGTGTCCGCTTCTCTGGAGCAGCAGAAAACAACCTTTCTCCCTCCTCTATGTGACATCCTTTTATATATTTGAACATGGCTATCATATCACCCCTTACGTCCTCTTCTCCAGGCTAAACATGCCCAGCTCCCTTAGCCGTTCCTCATAAGGCATCGTTTCCAGGCCTTTGACCATTTTGGTTGCCCTCCTCTGGACACATTCCAGTTTGTCAGTGTCCTTCTTGAACTGTGGTGCCCAGAACTGGACACAGTACTCCAGGTGAGGTCTGACCAGAGCAGATTACAGTGGCGCTATTACTTCCCTTGATCTAGATGCTATACTCCTATTGATGCAGCCCAGAATTGCAGTGGCTTTTTTAGCTGCCACGTCACACTGTTGGCTCATGTCAAGTTTGTGGTCAACCAAGACTCCTAGATCCTTTTCACATGTACTGCTCTCAAGCCAAGTGTCACCCATCTTGTATTTGTGCCTCTCATTTTTTTTTTGCCCAAGTGCAATACTTTACATTTCTCCCTGTTAAAGTTCATCTTGTTTGTTTTGGCCCAGTTCTCTAAGCTGTCAAGGTCGTTTTGAAGTGTGATCCTGTCCTCTGGGGTGTTAGCCACCCCTCCCAGTTTGGTGTCATCTGCAAATTTGATCAGGATGCCCTTGAGTCCATCATCCAAGTCGTTGATAAAGATGTTGAATAAGAGCGGGCCCAAGACAGAACCCTGTGGCACCCCACTAGTCACTCTTCTCCAGGATGAAGAGGAACCATTGATGAGCACCCTTTGGGTTCGGTCAGTCAGCCAGTTACAAATCCACTGAGTGGTAGCATAGTCAAGTCCGCATTTTACCAGCTTCTTTACAGGAATATCATGGGGCACCTTGTCGAATGCCTTGCTGAAATCAAGGTAGGCTACATCCACTGCGTTCCCTTCATCTACCAGGCTTGTAATTCTGTCAAAAAACGAGATCAGGTTAGTCTGACATGACTTATTTTTCAGAAATCCATGCTGACTATTGGTGATCACAGCATTCCTTTCTAGGTGCTCACAGATTGTTTGCTTAATGGTCTGCTCCAGAATCTTCCCTGGTATTGATGTCAGACTGACTGGGCGATAATTATTTGGGTCCTCTCTTTTCCCCTTTTTGAAAATAGGGACAACATTTGCCCTCCTCCAGTCTGCCGGGACTTCGCCTGTTCCCCAGGAATTCTCAAAGATGACTGCCAGTGGTTCTGAGATCACATCTGCCAGTTCTTTTAATACTCTTGGATGCAGTTCATCTGGCCCTGGAGACTTGAATACATCTAAACTAGCCAAGTATTCTTGTACTATCTCCTTAGTTATTCTGGGCTGTGTTTCCTCTGCTGAATCATTTGCTCCAAATTCTTCAGGTCGGGCATTGTTTTCTTTATCGGAAAGACTAGTTAGTTAGTTGTATATACTATCTCATGCAAAAGGGAGATCCTTAGCATCAGTTATTCACAACCTTATCCTACAGCATAGCATGTTTACTTGAAAATATTTACTATTAAGTTAAATTGGTATTTCACATGAATGTCATAGGATTGCAATATTACAAGATCCCATGACCACCCAGGACACAAAATAATATTTCAGTTTTGCATTTTCCTTCTCAGTGGTGAAATAACATTGCCAATAGCTCACTGGTCACCATATTCTAAATGGAATAAAAAAACCCCCACACACATTGGGTTATATCCATTTGTATCCCTCTGTGGCACTGATAGAAGGCTTTTTGATCCAGTGGAGGCTTCTATGAGTAGAAGAGGTGGGCCATTTTTGTGAATCCCTCCTTCTTACGATTTCTTCCCTCTGAGGAAAGGTTGCAGCATCTGTGACTTTTTAGTTTAGTGAAAAGGAGAGTAAGCGGTGACATGATAGAAGTTTATAAAATTATCAATGGCATGGATAAAGTGGATAGGGAAAAGTTTTTCTCCTTCACGTAATACTAAGACTTGTGGACATCCAATTAAGCTGAATGTTGGAAAATTCAGGACCTAGTTAAACCATGAAACTCTCACAGGATGAAGTGATGGATACCAATTTAGCTGACTTTAAAAGATTAGACAAATTCATGAAGGAGATGGGTATTGATGGCCAATAGCCATGATGGCTGTGCTCTGGCTCCACTGTTGGAGGCAGTAATGTTTATGAAAACCACAGGAGTTTTTGCAGGCTTCTCACAGGCATCTGGTTGGCCAATGTGAGAACATGATGCTGGACTTGGTGGCTCATTGGCCTGATCCAGCAGGCTCTTCTGTTCATATGTTTTCTTGCAGCCTGCTCGCATGTCACCTCCCATGCTGTTCCAAAGGGTCCCCCAGTCCTCTGAAGCAGATCTGAGGGAAGACAGTTGGATACAACCCATTGTTTTGAAGTCAATGGGTCTACACCCATAGTTAGGATTCCGGTTTAATGTTAATCATATATATTTCAGTGGGTTTAGACTGTCTTTATATGATCTGTTTCTCCCATGTGTGTACACAGCCACATGTCATGAACACACATAGAGAAAGCCCCTATATGTTGATGTGAGATTGCCCATAATCATTTTAACTGAGCTGCGGAGGTAACTAGTTCACTGCCTGGATCTTTTCCTCTGCTACTCCTGAACTGCTGGAGGTATTTGTTAGTGTTCATGAGGCCATTTTTGTGAGCATGAGCATAAATTGTCATGGTAAAGTCACAAACAACAATTGCTAAACATGCTGGGCTCTTGGGAGTGTATAATTAAAAGGCCAAACCCTTCTGGAAACAGGATGAGCAAGTTTTAATGAAAAATACAATAAAAATGAAATGAGCACATTTCCCCCCAGAAGTTGAGATCATTATTTGGGTGGTGGTTATGCCTCAAATAAAAAGCACTTGTTCTGTACACAACTTGAGGTGGCTGTCATCAGCTTGATCTAAAATTCTGGTAGCACATTCATCTCCTGGGATTTAATGCCCTCAGATATTTTGAAGAGATAAGGCTACATTGTTTCAGACTGTTTCTTTGCTTGTAAGCCCAACAAAAATAAAAGGAAATGAAACACAAATAAAGTGCATTCCTCAAGAAGTCAGCATTTTTTTTGGCTTTAACACAAAACACGATTAGTGTCCTTAAGGAACGACTTTGTGTTTGCTTCTTGTTAACAAGCTGTGTGTTAGCACTGCAAAGTCTTTATTTGCAGAAAAAGAGAAGCACATCACACTTTCCTACTTGGATTTCACTTCTACATTCACAAGCTGTATGTACATCACATTCACAATGAAACATGGAAAACTTAGCACTTTTGCCATGTGTGCTAACCATAGTTGGGATACTACACAGTCTGATTCATTATGTTACACTTTTTAGTAACAATTTGTTTAATTGTAAAGAAATGTGTATTACCCTGTAATCTGCTTCTAAGGCAAAATGGCATGTGACTACAGCAGAATGATTTCTGTGCTTTCTAGATTTCTTGTTCATTGGTAGTTTTGTCTTGGCTTCTGCTGGCTATTAATTGCCATATTTTTGCCTAAATCTGTCAAACGACTATATTCAGTGCTAGCTTTGTGCTTTGAGTCCCACATTTTTATAGTGCCCAAAATGAAAAAAGTATTTCCTTTTTTCTGTTTTCAGTCTAGCCACTATACACTTTGAGGGTAGCCCAAATCATGATGTACAAAAGTGCACAGAGGTGCCCCAAACGGAAGTAGCTGGTAATTAGGCTAAGTGGTCCAGTAGTCCAATTCTGCATAAAGGCAGCATATTTTCTTGTTCAGAAGTTGGGACAAAAATCTCACCACCCAACTATTGTTGTGAGTGTTGCATTGTGCAGGACTCCACTGGCAAATTGCTGAGCAGGGAAAATGCTCTTAATCTTATGCACGTTGAAGTTAATTTCCTAGAACTTGATGGGACTTCTGTTTGGGCACACAGTATATTGCTTCAAACCCTGGGTCCATTTCAAGACCCCGGAAGCCAAGGGAATTGTTTCCACCCGTTTCAAACTGAAGAACAGAAATGTACTTTATCTATCCCAGCACCTCCCTTTTCCTGGTTTCCCTCTCCCTCCCTTGCAAGCCAGAGAGACAACCTATCACTTCCACGTTATCGATACAACAAAACTGCTGAGCTCTATGCTGTGCTCGTTGGCATTTGAGTCAGTGGCTGCGGGGGGGGGGGATATATTCCGAGTCCCAAGTCCATCCATCTTGTTAAAGTTGGGTAATCCGTGAAACTCTCTCCCTCTGCATTTTGTTTCTCCGAGTTGGAGAGATGCGTGTGGCCACACCCTCCAACTCGCGACAGATTTTCCACCCTTGCGCTGCCAGGACAGGCCGAGCCCGGCTTATTCTGGCTGGATAAACATCTCGCCAGACAGAGCGAGCCTGCCAGGCAGCCGCCAGCTCGGGGAGAGGCGGCTTGTGCCTTTCACAAACGTGGGTTTGTTTCCCCCACAGCGTCGCCAGGTTGCTCATTTCCCTTCCCCAAACTGAAAGGGGGCGGGGAGAAGACGGTGAAGGAGGAAAACCTGAAGCAAAATCACCTCCTTTCTCGCCGAAGTCTCGGAGAGAAAGAAAAATAAAGCCCCCTCTGCCGCCTGTCTCCACAGGCAGCGGCTCAGTCCTGCTTCTCCAACGTTGCACCAGGTGTCAGCAGAGATACCCAACTAGCTCGGAGCCTCCTGGTTATATAGTAACCTGTTGCTTTTGGTCGGTGGCTCCACCTCTCCCTCCTCCTCTGCCTGGGCTGAGGGAGAGCTTCCACCTGCTCTCAGTGGAGCTGCGAGGTCTGCACGGGGAGAAAGGAGGGCGAGGAGGCGCGAGAAGAAGAGGGAGCCGTCAGGAACGGAGAGGGTCGTTTCCTCTTCCCCATCTCAGCCCCGGGCACCGTTTCCCCTTGGGCGGGAGGTCGGCGGTCACCTCAGGGAAGCCCTTTGCTGAGCCCAGCAGAGCAGGAAGCCCCAAGTTCAGAATGGCAGGGAAGCTGGACTAAGAGGAAGGGAGCCGCTCAGTGGGGAAGGAATTCCGAGGACCCAGGAACCTGGAAGAGTCCAGCTGGCTTCTGAGGGAAAAGTAAGTGAATTCTTCTTGTTTTTAATTTCTCCCCCCTCCTCCTCCCCCGCCCTGCTCCCCAGCGTTTGACGAGGAGCCTCCAAAGAATATTTCCCATGCGTAAGGAAGGGAGTGTGTTTGGGAAAGGGAGTGCTGGTAAAAACTCTGGAAGAAGTTAAGGGAAGAAGGAGCAGGATTTTCTCCATGTTATTTTGTGGCGTACTACAACATCTCTGCCCAAATGGGAAAGGTCCAGCAGGGAGTGCTGTTTTGGCAAAGGAAGACTCTTACGTTAGAAAACAAAGTCTAGCTATGCTATCAGTTGCTCAGCTTCATCGACACACTGCTAAGTTTATTCCAAAGTTGGTTGGCTTTTTCTCTCTGCTTTTATGTCTGCTTGGCTGCACTTTTGTGAAGTGGACCTCAAACTTACGCCCATGGGAAAATGTTGGTTGAGTTTTGTTTTTAGTTTAGTGAAATCATATTGGCAGTGGCCTGGGGTGGGTGTGTTTGCTTAGATATGGAAAATACTGGTACAAATTCTTCTCAATAAATGCAAGTCATCTTAATTTAGAGCTTTCTGAAATGCTGCCTGATATTAAACCCTGGGAACTAATCACTGCGTTGTCAGACAAGTGGGGCACTTGGATATAATTGTTCCTTGGCTTTAATTAGGGCAATTTTGTATAATGTGCAGCAGCAGGACTGCTCTTCCATGCTGAGTAACTGCCTGGAAGTGTAAACAGAGGCATACCAGATCTTTCTTTCCTAACTCACAAATTTCAAGTTATTCTGCCGAGGGTCATTGCTTAATATTTACATTTTGTACTCTGGATCCAGTTCCCAAGTACAAAAGAGATGCAAGAGAGTATTGTTTATTAACAGTACACTTGTATTTCATACACGAATGTCACACGTCCTTTCAGTTCATGCTAATTGCTCATACACATTTTGTAAGAAGTCACAAGTTTTGCATTTGGATGTCGTTCAAAAATTACACTGATGACATGTATTTGGGGATTTGTTCCCATGCACAATGTGTAAAGATGTCCTAAGAAGTTTGATCCATTCTGAATATCTGGATTTTTTGTGCTCACCACATGACACTCTATAGTCATGTGAATAGAATGCCATATTAACAAGAGCTATAATTGCTCCAGCTTCCAGTTTACCAAAATGTTATGAACATTTACATAAATCAGGTGGGGCTGATGGGAGGCGTAAGCCAAAACATCTGGAGGGCATCAAGCTGGCAAAGGCTGTTTCACAGTATTAGTGTGGTCTACTTCTTCCATTGTCTAGAGGAAAGGATGGTCCACATAGAAGTCCCAAGTCGATTGCTAATTTAGGTTAAAAGGACCTGTTATAAAACAAGAGGTTGGAATCTGCTGGGATTGTGAAATGTAGTAGTGTGCGTGGAGGGGAGGATATATCAGAGCAACCTGCACACTGACTACAAACAAAGCTCACTGACTACAAACAAAGTATGCTACTGCAACAGTATGGGAGCTGCTTCCCCATGGCTTCATCACCCACTGCCTTGCTACTGTCTGGAAGCCACAACTACATGATGTAAGGGTGGTGTGCAGCTCCTACCCATCCATTATATCCCAACTGGGAGGAAGAGATGGAATTTGTTAGGAATAGTCCATATGATTACTTTTGGCACTAATTATTACTTCAGCAGCCTGGGAAGAAGTTACTGGGCAGCACTTGTTGTGCCACTGCTTTAATGTGAAGGGTCTCTCTTAGGGTGAATACAGATAACCATGTCACCATTTGGTCACCCCTAATGTGCCATTAAATGTTCCTTACCACATGGCAAGATAAGACAAACAGGTGGTTTTATCGGTTGATTAGATGTACAGTGTGGAAAGGGACTACCTGGCATTTGACCATCTGACTTTTCACCCTGGATCTTGCATCACTCATTCAAGCAATAAAACTTGTTCATAATTCGTGACAAGAACTTAAGCGGGAAATGTTTTTATTTTATTTCTTTTAATCATTTTTTTAATTTTCCAATAAAAAACATCCTATATATCCAATCATAATCCAATTAAAATAAAAAACTAAAAAAAGACCAAATTATAATCCAAATTATAATTATTAATTTTTCGGAGTTCCCCATGGTCTGGACCTCTGAAGCATATCACCACATCTCAGTCCTGCCTCTCCTCATTGTTTCCATATTGTCCACATCTTTATTTTCACGCTTTAAAATTCTCCATCCCTTGTTTCACAATTCTCAGTCATGTCAGACATCATATATCCTTTCATCCATCAAATACAGCTTTATTTGTAAGTATATATTTTTCCAACTGCCTTTTGACCAGTGCAGCTTCCTCTGACTCCATTCCAATCCGGGATGTTATCCAAGTCTGTTATCTGAAGTTTAATGACGCAGCAACTCCCAGTCATTAATCCTTCCAATCCAGGCTGTTGTCCGAACCTTCCTTTTGAGCTTTAATGAATCAGTACCTTCCACGTTAAATTGTTGGGCAAAACTGTTTGAAATGTTTTTATATTCAAGAGCTGAATGTAAATTCATTTAAAAAACAACAACAGAATTTCAGTTAATACTAAACATAATAGGTCATTAGATCAACCTCAGAGGGAGCCTCCATCCTGGTGCCGCCATTGGGGATGGAACCCCCCCAAGTCCTGAAAGCTATCCCACTCAAAGGATCCATGCCTGCGGACTTTGGACAGATGAAAAAATGAACATGAAATTATGAAAGCCAGAGTAGTCTAGACTTTGGACAGATAAAAACATGGTAATAAAATTATGAAAGTGAGTGTTGAACCTGTCTTCAAATCCCTGCTCAGCTTTGAAGTTCCCAGATGGCCTTGACAAATAAATTTCTTAAGCTTAGTGCATAGTCTGCAAAAGAAGACTGAATGAGATAATGACTACCAAGCTGGCTACATTTGAGAAATACCGGTACTTGTGGAAATATGAACAATGGCTAGTAATTAGTTGGGATACACATGGATAACAGTAATGAATCTTTTCTAGCTTTTAATCAGTGGTGAGCCATAACAGGAAGGTGGGTCAGATCTTTTTCTCCCCACCTCACAGCTAACTTTGACAGGTAGGTGGGACCAGGCAGCTGTCTTGCCATCTGACATCATAATTGTTCCAATGTAATGATTACATTTTAGATAATTATTAGGGGTCATGTTTGCCTCCTTGGTTTTAAAAGCAAGCTTTTTTATGCCAGTTTGCTTTATAGTTATGATATCTAGAACCTTTTTTAAAGATGATATGTTCATTTGAGAAATGTGTCTCTCAGCATGGGGCTTTAGGAAACCACAATGATCAGTCTGTCTATGATGAGTATTAGCAAATCCCAGATAACAGAATTTAAATGGATTTACACAGAATGTACAGATTTCTCATACACTTGCACACTTTTCTTGTCCTCTCTGCTCATTTCAGTGCACATCTGCCTCGTTCTAAGAGTGAAGTGCAAGTCATCATTCAAATAGGGTGGGTATTGTGATGTTTGCAGGTTTGAAATAAAGTATCCAGTTAACCCCAAATGACAGTTATGTGAAGGTGATGTTCAACATCTTTATAAATGACTTGGATGAAGGAATTGAAGGGATGCTTATCAAATTTGCAGATGACACCAAACTGGGAGGGGTAGCTAATCCTGCAGAAGACAGAATCAGAATTCAAAATGACCTTAACAGATTGGAGAACTGGCCACAAGCTAACAAAATGAATTTCAATAGGGACAAATGTAAGGTTCTGCACCCAGGCAGGAAGAACTAGATGCACAAATATAGGATGGGGGACACCTGGTTTACTAGCAGTACATATGAAAAGGATCTAGGTGTCTTGGTGGACCACAAGCTTAACATGAGTCAACAGTGTGATGCAGCAGCAAAAAAAAAAAAAAAAAAAGCTAATGCTTTTCTAGGCTGCATCAACAGAAGTATAGTGTCCAGATCAAGGGAAGCAATAGTACCACTCTATTCTGCCATGGTCAGACCACACCTGGAATACTGTGTCCAAAGTATATTGACAAACTGAAACATGTGCAGAGAGGGCAACCATGATGATCAAGGATCTGGAAACTAAGCCTTACCAGAACTGCTTGAAGGAGTTGGGTATGTTTAGCCTGGAAAAGAGGAGACTGAGAGGAGGGATGATAGCCATCTTCAAATATCTTAAGGACTGTCATAAGGAAGAGGAAGCATGCTTGTTTTCTCCTGCTCTTGAGGGTAGACTTGAGGCAATGGCTTCAAGTTACAATAATTGAGATTCCGAGTAAACATTTGGAAAAATTTCTGACAGTCAGAGGCGTTTGGCAGCGGGACAGACTCCCACGAGAGGTGGTGGACTCTCCTTCCTTTGTGGTTTTTAAGCAGAGGTTGGATGGCCATCTGTCATGGATGCTTCAGCTGAGATTTCTGCATTGCAGGGGGTTGGACTAGATCAGTGTTTCCCAACCTTGTGCCTCCAGCTGTTTTTGAACTACAACTCCCATCATCCCTGACTAGCAAGACCAGTGGCAAGGGATGATGGGAATTGTAGTCCAAAAACAGCTGGAGGCACAAGGTTGGGAAACACTGGACTAGATGATCCTTGGACCCCTTTCAGCTCTAAGATTCTATAATTCTATGACTGCCACTATTAGCCACCTCACCACTAGCCCCTTTTCAGTGTATGTAGCTGATACTAGTGTTTGGAAAACGTGGTTGTGTGTCACCAACAAGGCCTTCCACTGTGTTTGTGTTCTTTATCTGTACAGATACAGAAACAAGAAGCAAGTTTGTGCCAAGCTCCAGAGACATTGCCAGCTCTTGCCATTTTGTCACTTGGCTTGTAGTTTTTGTTTAAAAGGTATACGAATTTCAGAGTTAATCCAAGTTATCACCCTTGAAGGCTTGGATGAAAGCTCTTCTCCCAACAAATGACACATAGGTTTTATTAGTTTTGTGAATGACAGTAGTAGTCAGGTGGTTAACAACTGTCCTATTAATGCAAGCTATAATATGTGTAATATATG